TATCCTTTGTGAGTTCCACCTCTTGTTCTGAGTGTATTATGCTACGCTGCATGTACGTCAATAAATAGACGTATCTGACTGCTTTTCTTTTTAAAAGGATTTGCTTATTGTTTTGATTGTACATTCAACACCTCGGAAACGAACTGTGGGACCATTATTAGCAAAGGGTTTTCACTAAATGAAGGCTTCCTTCTAGGTCTGGGACATACAGTACATTTACTCTACTTGTCACCTGACAGTGTGATGCAGTTCAGGAATCCTTGAGCGTTACCTTCTGCAGTAATATTTTTCCCGTTTGCTCTGAAAACGTTGTCCTTTGCACTGAAGTCAATTTTTGTTAAGAATGTCTTATCAATAGTCATGTGACTTGTTGCACCATCCGCGTGGTATACTGTTCTGAGTCACTTTAAAGCAGGGATGTGCGGCCAGGGGAGGCAGGTGAGGCAGAGCCTCACCTAGTATTATGGAAGAAAAAGCTGTCAGCTTCAAGTCTGAAGCTGACAGCTTTTTCTTCATTCAGACCGGCTTCTAACAGGTTAGAAGTTGCAGCAGGCTGGGGGCAGGGCTGGGACGGCAGGGGGAATGCCTCACCTAGCACCTCCCCTACTGCACGTCACTGCTTTAAAGGTAGTGCTCCATGATGTGCCTGCAGTTTCCGTTGTAGCTGCCTTAGCTCTTTCTCTTGTAGGTGCCTCTTGCTTTCGCTGCCCATTTTTACAGATTGAATAGTCCTTTTTCAGGTGACCAGTCTTTTTACAGCAAAAATACACTGCTTTCTTTGTTTTGCTTTGTGCTCTCATGCACCTTAAGGGCTTTCTTGTTTTCTTCAGTGGGCATATTTTCTTTCCTTCTGTCATATTCATCGATTCATTTTCTTTTGGTGTTTTCTAGTGTTAGTTCCTGCTCATTTCTGGTTTCTAGAGCATGAATTAGAGCATTCTATGACTCTGGAAGGCTGCATAGCGGTAATGCCACCACGTGGTTATCTTTAATTTCCTCTCCAATTGCACTTAGTTGTTCTTCGATTTCCAGCATAGGATTCACATGTTCACACATTTACTGGCCTTTTTTTTAGCCTCATCTTATATAGCTTGCATAGCAGATATAGTTTACTGTTTAGGTTTGAACGCCCATGCAGCTTTTGTAATGCAATCCACATACCTTTAGCTGTATGTGGATGATCTGGATAAGCTGGTCATCTTCCAGTGCCACTAGCAGACTTATAATTGCTTTTGCTTGCCTGTTCTTCTTGTCCTATTCCTCCGTGGGTCCATTCATGTTTTCTCAGTACTTGCCACAAGTCATCTTTGCTTAGCAGCATTTCAAGCTTGAACTTCCATAGCTGGTAGTTGGTATTGTTGAGCTTTGTGATTTTAAACTTCATATCTGAACTGCTTGCCATCTTTCAGTAGCTTGGATGAAGCTCTTGTTGACTTTCAGTGTTCTGTTTAGTGCTTGGGCCCATAACCTGTTGGTTATGTGTTTAGATGAAGCACTGAGATCTTGAGGAACGCTGAATTAGGTTTTACTTGCTTAGGAGAACGTTACATCTAAATACAGCATTGTGCAGGAAACATACTGAGGAGAATTGGTCAAATCTGGAGAAGCTGTGCATGGCAACCAATCAGCTTCTCTCCTCAGTTTGTTTAGTTAAGATCTGAAAATGAGAGAGAGGCGCTGTTTGGTTGTCTTGCACATTTTATATCTGTACAGTACCATATATACTCGAGTATAAGCCGTCCCGAATATAAGCCGAGGTACCTACTTTTACCACAAAAAACTATGTTGCTTTTTCAATACAAATTCCCTTGCAAAGTGCCTATTTCACACTGTGTAAATCAACCCCAAAATTTCCCCAATAGGAACATAGACAAAACACAACAGAAGTTGTAACCATTCCCCACTCTAAAACAAACATGTTTTGCCTTGAATTACAACTTAAAAAGGTTTTAAAATATTTCATGTTCATCAGGTTAAGCCTCACACAAACTTTAGAAGTTTGTTCCAGAAGAAGCGAACACTAAACCGTGACTAATTTTACCATAAAGGAGGGATCAAATCATTTCTAATCCCACAAAGCCAGTCAGATCAATGATCTTGCTCAAAATGGACTTTGGAATACTAAATAACAGAAAAATGCAAATAACAAGACAGGTGTATTGCCTCACAGGTAAAGGTCATAGACCGTTTGTACAAATTGGAGCAACTAAGGTTAGGACACCTACACAAAGCCAGATTAGTAGAATAAACATTTGCAGTTCAGAGGAAACATGGAAATTGTTACTTTTGGAAGAGGAAATTATAATTATGTTATTATTATTATTTGCTGAGAAAATACCATTCTACCTTTGAAGGAGAACTATGAGATGAGTGATTTCCACTCACCTCATAGTTCTAGCCGACCTGTGACAATGAGACTGTCACAGGTCGGCTCAGTAGATCGGGAGGTGAGCGAACACATACCAGGTTCGCTCACCTCTTGATCCTGTCATGGCTCTCTGCCGTAACAGGGGGAGGGGCTGGATTTCCCTCTCCCCGCTCCGAACTGCCAGCTCTGACTGGCGGAACGGACGGGGGAGGGGGTGGGTACAGCTGGCTCTGCCTCTAGATAGGCAGAGCCAGCTGTCACTCACGCAGCTGGGCGGATCCCGTCATCTACGTTGGGGTCCGCTCCGGCTGCGGCGTCTCAGTATCTGTAGCTGTAGCTCGTGGTATACTGAGCTTAGGGTAACGGGAGGACGCTAGTTTGTGTCCTCCCGTTACCCTAAGGAGAACTATGGGGAAAAACACTGACCCCATAGTTCTCCTTTAAACTGATTCTATACAGACTTTAGTTAGAATATATGGATGACTGTAGATGTAAGGTCATTATAGATATTTGGACAGTCATAATCCTATATTTTGTACTCGGAGCTGGGAGGTGGGTGCACTTTCTTAACACCGATTCAGCTGTGTATGTAATGCTCAGCTTGTGCTTTTGTGCTCGGTAAAAACATGCTTATTAATGTGACACTAAACTCAGGAGTTAAACTTTAAAAATGCATTCAAATACCTTAACTATTAACAAGAATGTATCTTATTTGTGTATCACTTGGCTGTAGATTCTCAAATCATTTCTGAATTGGTGCTGACACTGCCCTTCCTTCTGGAGTGTGGCTACCTTTGTTCCCCATGGTCCCTGTGGGTGTTGTAAAGTAGCCACCGCTCCAAGCTTGCTCCCGTGTTAATAGTTAAGGTACTAATGCATTTTTAAGATTTAACTCCTGAGTTTAGTCTCACTTTAATAATGTGAAAATGAGTCTGGTTCTCCACCTGCAGGCTGGAAATTGAAGCACAAAATAAACATATAGAATATTTCATATACTTTAAATAAATAACTTTTTTTGTGGTAATTTTAAGAACATGTAGAATTCACTAAACTGTATTCCTTTATTTTCTTACAGTATTGTGGGAAATAACCCAGCTTCAATCTGCTGTAAATTACACTCTCAAGTACACTCAAAGCTCTAGTTAAACAAAGGAGATGACACAAGATGGTAACTTGTATTTTGCCCCAACTACCTTCAGGATTAATTTATCAATGCTCAAATTTAAAAAAAAATTGCAAGTGAAGTGGCCTCTGCAGGACAATGTAACAAGCCTAGTTCACCAGCAGTTTGTAATCTCCTTCCCTTTGGTCCGCCTGCCACTCCATTCAGCCACCAGGAGAGGTGGAAATACCCCTTTTTTTCAGACGTGAATAGGCACGTGACCCAAACCAGGTTACAGCGCTAAAAAATGGGCTTGATGATTGGTTCAGCATTGTCACATGGGGGCGAAGTGACAATTAACCCTGTGTAAACTCCAACTGGAATTCTGACTTGAGCTGACAAATGCTGAATGGAGTGGTTGGGGATTACAAAGAAGGTAAGAACATGCTGATGGGGATGGAATGATTTATGTAAACATGCTTTGTCCTGCATTGGTATCTATTTTTTAAAAAGTCAATAAGCACTGGTTAGATATTTAAAATTGCAGCTCTAAGATCTGAGTTGCACAATTCATAAAAGCCATCAGCAACTGGCTATAATATACTTTACTGACAGCTATGAATCTTTGTAAATGATGATGTTTTTAGTAATCTGTGCATTGGATTGTGCACAATAACGTACTCACATTTTTATACTGGCTATTTTATTGTAAGTCAGAGGTTTTCTTTTATTTGTTTTCGGAACAACTTCTGTCGCCATGCTATTTGACAACTTCACAAAAGCTCTTACCATTACATGGAAGAGGCCTTTGCCCTCAAAGTGTATGTTCATAAGACCCTGAACTGTGAACTTTAAGGAAAGCTTCTTTTATTTACCAACTCTTAGGACAGAACTCGTTTTCCATTTACCAAGCGATCAAAATGGCTAATTTGATGCAGGTAACAGGCATATTCTTCCTACTATTTCTCATTCCTCAAGCAGAGCAAACAGGTATGATTTCATATTATTATTCATTCATCTTCTTCTTAGAATTGGGTTTGGTAAAACTGACAAAATCATAATGATTCAATCACAAAGTTTACAGGTATAAGGCTGAGCGAGAAAATACAATAGATAATAAACTGCATGTGCTTTTATTTATATTACATTTGAGGATGAGGATTCTATTAAGGTCATGTAATTGTTAAATACTTATTATGCTGTTTTAATAATATAATGGAATGATATAATAATATAATACATTCTGGATGAAGATAAATGATTTAAGGTAAGAGATCTGTAAAAACAGTTAGTTATTGGATAGCATAATAGTATAGTAAGAGGGGTTGAACTTTGGAGCTGTCAAGACCCGAAGCTCATTTCAGGATCCTGCATGTAGTTTGTAAATTCTGCTCGTTCTGGTCTAAGGGGTTAAAGTAAATAGAAAATATACTACCCTGATCCTGGACCCTGCAGCAGTCAGCGCTCCACTGTGCAGGTGGAATGTCCCTCAGCGTCCTCACGTCTAATGCAGCTACATTAGACGTGATGATGTCACCCTTCGACAGCCAGAGGCCGGTGGAGAAGTGGCTGCGGGGACCGATCTGTGGTGGTGGTGAGTATATCTTTTCTATTTTAGACCCTAGACCAAACTGAGCAGTTAACCCTTGCAGTGCAGGGGTAGCCCCACTGCAAGGGATTATTTTTACATTGCCTGTTTTTCTTTAGGTAGAAGAAGGAGAATACTAGAATCTCCATCAGCTTTGTATTGTTGTCTGTTTTCCTGTTGCAGTTTTTTTCTCTCGCTTCCCCTCTGGTAAAGGGTTGTTTCGACAACAGAATGTAAAGGGGAAATCTCTCTACAGGAGACCCAGATAGCAATAAAACCAGAAAGGGGTTCTAAGCTTTCCCCATTCATAACTAGAATAAAGTTTGGGAAATAGACACATTTTAAACTCTGTCTTTTAACTTTTGGATAGACTAGGAAAAGATTACAACTCCCGTCAGATTTTATATTTCCATGTTTCAGTTTCTTCTGTTCACCAAGAGGTAATCTATTTAACAGAGACAGAAACAACAATAAAGGCATTTTTTTGCAGCGTGGAGAAAGGTTAGAACCTCTGTTAAGATGAACTCTAGAGAAAATGATTATTAACCCTTGCAGTGGGGCTACCCCGGCACTGCAAGGGTTAACTGCTCGTCTTGGTCTAGGGAGGAACATAAAGTTAAAGTGACATTAAAGTCAAAAACTTTTTTCCCTCCCCCCAATGTTAATAAAGCACTAAAGGTGCCCATACACCTTACGATTATCGGACGATTTTCGTATGCGATCGACTTTTCGTCCGATAAACGTATGTGTGCATTGCAGTGTCCGACCGACATTACTGTGCATCGTACATAGTTACATAGTTACATAGTTACATAGTATTTGAGGTTGAATAAAGACATTAGTCCATCAAGTCCAACCTATTAGGATCTCATTCTAGGAGTACCTGTAGCCCTGTATATTACGGTCCCTTAAGAAATCGTCCAAAAGTTTCTTGAACAATTCCACATTATTTGCTGAAATCACTGTCTGTGGCAGTGAGTTCCAGACCCTAACTGATCTTACTGTGAAGAACCCCCTTCGCCCCTTGTGCTGGATTTTTTTTTCCACCAATTTTAGGTGGTGGCCTCTAGCTTTTGTGTTATTATGTTGCATAGGCAGATCGTACTTGCGATGATCGCAAGCAACGCCCCCTGAGGGGCGGGCTTCCAATGACCGCAATGCCAAACCGGCAGTGTGCGCTTGCGCACACCGGCCCGTACGGCTGTTATCGTACGGACATGCCACAAACCCGCCGAAGATCGTACGATGCTCGGCGGGTTTTTGAACATGTCCGTAAGTTTAAAGTCGTGCGACCTTACAGTAGTAGAGGTCGCACGGCTTCCACAAACCTTACGACAATCGTATGATCGCGGGATTTCCCGCAATTATCGTACGATTATTGTAAGGTGTGTGGGCACCCTTACAATGAGGCTACCCCCTAACTGAAAGGGTTAAGTGCTTGTTTGTGTCTACGTTTAAAAAAAAAAAAGAAGGTTAGATCCGAAGCTCTGAGCTGGTTTATTCTTAGACTCGTCCTTCCAACATCTCTCTCCCTCTTCTGCAGTGGTCTAAAGTCCCATAAATCATCACGTCTAAATTGCCTTATTTATTTATTTTTTTATGCTGATTCCACAATATATGCTGTATTCTAAAAGAAAAGTTGTTCTCTGTACTACTCTGTACTCTGTGTGCTCTGGCATGCAAGCGGTGCTGGCATGTTAATGTTAACATATTTAACCCTGTCTCTAAATTGCTCTCATTATAAGTTAAACTAGATTTGAACAATATCTGTCCTAACAAAGTGTTAACGATCTAGAAGCATTGTATGTTAAACGAGAACTATGAGGTGAGTGATTTCCACTCATTTTCATAGTTATAGCCGACCTGTTACATAGTTACATAGTTACATAGTATTTGAGGTTGAATAAAGACATTAGTCCGTCAAGTCCAACCTATTAGGATCTCATTCTAGGAGTACCTGTACCCCTTACTGTGAAGAACCCCCTGCGCCCCTTGTGCTGGAATTTTCTTGATCCGATCTTCTTCTTTCCTGTCCTTTTCAGCCTTCTCTCCAGCGCTGCTGCGGGTCCCCGATCCAGCGCTGACTCCTCTGTCCTTGTGGGCACTTCCTGTCCCACGGTGTCTGCATGCGGTTGCACGCGTCCATAGACTTACCTTGTGTCTCTCCTCGTCTCCCGGCAAAAAATCCGAACTGCGCATGCGCTCGCCCCAAGATGCTTTGCGGCCGCCCGAGTAGTTTCAGATTCTCGGACAGGAGCGTGTGGTGAAGACAGCGGTAAGCTTAAACTGCTTTTAAAGCGTTTTTTACTTTTTGCATAGATCTACTGCTGGCCGTGAGTAGGAGGAGTGAGAAGAATGGTAGGTGGCTTGATAGGCCCGTCTATCAAGGGTATGACATGTTTCTGTGGTGGTATGCGTCTCCTGCAGGCAGACAACAGAGGACCCACTCCTGTCAATATTATCAAATATAGAACGGCGTTTAGCAGCATCGCCTAGGCCGCGTACATTCCAGGAGGCTAACTTAAATACCCGCTGACCACATGCAGCCGCCGGCCACGCCCCCCAAAACTAGCATTTTACTCTTCCAGTGCGGGGTGGCCCCACTAAAAGGTTTAATAATAATTTTCCCTGGGGTTCTGCTTTAATCATATGACCTCCTCCATCAGCATTACTATGTTTAGAAATATGTTATGGAATTGTAGAGAATATTATAGGAATGTGTGCTGCATTGTACTGTCTTCTTGTTCCACAATCACAACACAACAGGATGATAAATGATGAAATATGCACCATATTGTTAGATAACACAATTGACTTTACAAGAGCCAAGCTTGTTCATATGCTTTTCTAGTCTTCCTTTCCGCTGAAAATGCAAACAAAATAATACAGAGAGCCAAGAGAGCAAACTTCATCATAATAGAGGAACTGCTCAAAGGAAATCTAGAGAGAGAATGCTATGAAGAAGTATGTACGTATGAAGAAGCACGGGAAACATATGAAGACAAAGAGAAAACAGTGAGTTCCCATGGGTTTTACATAAACGTAATGTAACATAGGACATCTCAAACCAATCCACTGTCAAGTTTTCTAAACAGCTTCTGAAATATAGACCCAATCAAGCAGGATGCTCTGGCTGGCATCCCGCCCCGCTCGTGGCAACCAGTGATGTCAGTGAGCTGGGCGGTGCGCCGAACAGAGCCGCCGGACCCAGAGGTAGCACCAACACCCCCCTCAGTAACAAGCATCCACTGCCAGCACACCCCACCACCCATGTAATG